CACACACACACACACACACACACACACACACACACACACACACCACACATTCCAATAGAGATGGATTCATTTGTTGTGAAGGAGAAAGAACGACAGAAAGGATTCACTTGTCTCCAGCTCTGGAAGTGACACAAACAGACACCACAATGTCACAAGACACACACACACACACACACACACACACACACACACACACACACACACACACACACACACACTGCCTCACTGTCGCCCCACAATAATGCGCATTGTACTGCAGAGCAGCGTAGAATGGAACGGAAGGGTAAAGTAGACTTTGTGTGTGGAATGTCTGCGTTTGTCGTTTTTGTGTGTGTGTGTGTGTGTGCGTGCGTGCGTGTGTGTGAGGCTGCTGAAGTTGTGTATTCTGAGCAGAATAATTCGGAGGAGGGGTTCAAACAGGATTACACAGATCAGAGGAAACTCATCTCTGTAACGACTCATAATAAGACATTTAAATATACATTTATATCATTTAAATTATATTTGCATGTATATATATATATATATATATATATATATATATATATATATATATATATATATATATTTTTTTTTTTAATAGACAAAAACTATTTGTGATTAGTTTGAAATTAGATTCCTTAGGTGTTATTTCTGTCTCACTAAACTTCATCCATGAACAAGATGCATTTAATGGAATAATTATTATTATAACAGTTTCTATTTCTCTCTTCATCACAACAAAGCGCACACGACTGCTTTGCCTTATATACAGTATATATATATATATATATATATATATACATATATATATGTATATGTATGTCCTTATATACATATCCTCCCCGTGCAGTCGGTTACCATGGAAACCACCTCTCTCCGTCACTTAGAAGACATTTTCTGTGACCTACATATTCTGCTCCTCCCAGCAGCTCTTCACCCGCCTCCAGCTGTTCTGCCCCCCATCCCACCCTCGTCGGCCCCTCCACCTCCCCACCCGCCACCCACCACACCCCTGTCGGTGGATCGTACCATCTGCTCCCCAGGGTGTGCTCTGATGTGGAGGGGGCGTGTTTAACACGCAGCAGCATTAGCACGTTAGCTAAGATACACTCATAAAATCCACTACAGTCATCTGAGCTGCAAAGAGCAGACAGAGTTTGAACAGCCTGTTTGCTCGGGGACCAATAGGAAGGCAGCGTTTTACCTGGGAGGTCCTCGCCTCCACCTCCGTTGATGGTGCAGGTGGGGTTCTCGTCACGTTCACCCCCCCAGGGCCCCTGGAGGTGATCCCTCCACCCCTCATGTGTTCATCCACGTCGTTCATCCTCATCCCTCTGTCTTCTCCGCAGGCTCCAGCCCTCCGTCTGAACCCCCCCACGAATCACACCAGCCAGGTCTGATGCCCCCCGCGAGACCTGAAGAGCATTAGACTGCTGCCACACTTCTTCCTGCTCTGTGCTGAGGGGGGGGGGGGTAACTTTACTGATGTCCTGCTGGGGGGAGTTGAAGCCTTTTACCTCCTTGCAGCAAAAAGATAAAAGTCGGATGAAAAACTAAAAGAAACCGCTCAGAGATCGTTGCCCACCTTCACTGAGCCGCGACACGTGCCCCCCCCCCCCCCCCCGGAATCCCCCCTCCAGGCAGCCGCCGCTGATGGAGGCCCACCAACACTCCCCAGAGAGCAGCAGTGAGGAGTGCACCGTCCTGGAGGCGCGCCCGGCAAGAACGCCTGCCCCCGACACGCAGGGAAGGTAGGGGGGCGCCCCACCACTTCCTGTGGGGGGGGGGGGCACATGAGCAGCTTTCCCATCTCCCCCTCTAACTGCACCCGATTCCTCCGCAGGGGGCCGAGCTGTTCTGTTCGGCCTGCGAGGTTGCGCTGTGCGAGGACTGCGTGCCGGACCACGAGGAGCACCCTAAGGTGCCCCTCAGCCGGGCCCTGGAGCAGCACCGCAGCAGCCTGCAGGAGAGGCTGGGGGGGGTCCAGAACAGGTGGACCTGCTTTAGACTCACACATTATTTAATATAAAACAACTGTGTCTATCCTCCGTGTTTGATTGGCACAGAATGGCCCATGTGACCTTCAGATCTTAATGTATAAATACATGTAAATCTCTCCTCAAGACAGCAGGTCAGTGGTTCTTCAACCAAATGGTTGAACTAATATCCTATTTTGTTGGTTAGTTTCCGCTCAGCCAAAGAGTAACTAAAGCTGTGTAATACATTAGGCATTAAGTCACATGAAACCATTGAGGCATGAATGACCAATGAGATGTGACAGTGGCGCGAAGGGGAGGAGCTAACATCAAGTGACCGTCTCCCTTTTTCCGTCCCATATTCGTCCCTGCAGACTCCCTCAGATTTCAGACGCCCTGTCCTTCGTTAAAGAGATCCACCAACAGCTGACCAATCAGAGAGCTTCCATCGAAGAGGACATCCAGTCGAGCTTCGAGGATCTGCACAAGCAGCTGGATGTCAGGAAGAGCGTTCTGCTGATGGAGCTGGAGGTCACGCACGGCCTCAAACAGAAGGTGATCCTGCTCCTGATCTTCAGTGTCTGTAAGAGAGGAGCCTAAATAACAGAAACAATCTGTGCCCTGGCTCCAGGTCCTCCAGGCCCAAGTGGACAGCCTGGTCCGCGGAGAGGGGGACCTGGAGGCCTCCTGTTCCCAGGCGGAGGAGGCTCTGGCCGGGGAGGCGTGCGTGGCGAGCCTGCAGGCCGAGCAGGAGCTGCAGGAGAAGCTGGGCGAGCTGGCCGGACTCGGCCTGCCGTGTCAGCCGGAGGAGAACGACCAGCTGGATCTGCTGCTGGAGACGGACGGGCTGAGGAAGTCGATACACAACCTGGGGACCATCGTCACAACCAGGCGAGACAACAAATAGTCCTGCCCCTGCTATGAAGATGTCTTTTAAGTTGACACCACCTGACTGTCCTGCATTTCCCTCCCCCTCTTCCTCAGTGCGGTGGCGTGCCAGAGCGAAGCCATGGGTGCTGGCCTGGAGCAGTGCATTGTGGGACACCCTGCCTCGGTTACCGTGGTGACAAGAGACAAGTCAGGGGGAGCCTGCAAGACCGGCAACGCGATCCTGTCAGCTGAGGTAGTTTTTTTACACCCCATCTCCAACAAAGCAAACCTCTGTGGGCACTCCAACGGGAAATAACGTTCTTCATGTGTTGGACCAGGTCTTCACCCCCGATGGAAGCATAGTGGACGGTGAAATAGTGGACCACAAGAACGGGACTTATGAGTTTGTGTACACGGTGCCGAACGAGGGCGACTTCTCGTTGGCTCTCCGTCTGTACGATCAACACATCAAGGGAAGCCCCTTCAAACTGACCATCAACAGGGTCTCGGAAGCAGAGTCGAGGTGGGTTCACCGAAGCGTCGTCTTTCACACCATCTTTGTACCAAACGCGTTGGTACAAAGTATCCTCCAGCTAAGGAGAAGGTGTTTAAAGCTGCCACACTGGAAGGCGGGAGGCGGAGGGGGGTAAAAGAAAGGCAAGCAGCGTTAATAACCGTGATAACGGTGTGTACTGTGAGACGATGCAAAACAGACCATAAACCATAAAGCAACTCCACCAAAGTGTTTGTAAAGGTCACTTCAAGGTTACAGGGTTTCATATTTGTCATTGTACATCATTGTCCTCTTGATTCTCCTTGAAACGGGTCCTGAAGTCCATTCTTTTTGCAAACCTCCCCACTCACCAAATGTAACAGTTCCAAAGTCCTGCTGGGAAAGTTGATCAAGTTTACACATGAACTAAACACTTCTATCTCCAGGTGTCCCCCTCCACCACCACGGCAACCAACTCGGCGGCCTACGCCACCCCGTCCACCGGCTCCTCCGAGGGGGCGAAGAGACGAGGAAAGTCCCCCGGCCAGAAGAAGAAGGGCTCCAAGAGGGCCAGCAGCGCCCTGGGGACCCCGCGGCGCAAGACCCAGAACCCCATCGAGGACGACCTCATCTTCCGGATTGGTGCGGCTTTTGGAAGCTCCGGCTATTCTCAAAGCTTTGGCACTCAGAATTGTACATTTTGAAGCTTGAAACGTCGGATTCGACTCTCTGCAGGAACGAAGGGGAGGAACAAAGGAGAGTTCACCAACCTCCAGGGAGTGGCGGCCTCCTCCACGGGCAGGATACTGATAGCCGACAGCAACAATCAGTGTGTTCAGGTAGAGCCCGTTTCACCTGCTCGCCTCTTCTCCAAAAGGCCGTTGGAGGCTCCGCACTTGGTAAATGTAGGTTTAGAAGTCAAGGTCTAAACCTATGACCTCACCACTGTCTCCCCACTCTAGATTTTCTTAAATGAGGGGGAGTTCAAGAGTCGCTTTGGCGTGCGGGGGCGGTCGCCAGGGCAACTGCAGCGTCCCACGGGCGTGGCCGTGCACCCCAGCGGGGACATCATCATCGCCGACTACGACAACAAGTGGGTCAGCATCTTCAACAGCGAGGGCAAGTACAAGGTGGGTGCACCGGAGGGGCTTTGAGCTTCAAAGCGATCGATTGAAAACTTCATTCATGTTTGAATCATATTCGTGATGCACAAAAAACTCCCTTGTCCGTATTTGCCGTCCATCAGGCGAAGCTGGGCTCCGGTAGGCTGATGGGGCCGAAGGGCGTGTCCGTGGACCAGAACGGTCATGTGATCGTGGTTGACAACAAAGCGTGCACTGTCTTCATCTTCCAGCTGACCGGCAAGCTGGTCACCAAGTTTGGTAGTCGAGGCAACGGGGACAAACAATTTGCAGGTAGTGTTTGTAGCAAGAGACTAAGACCGACGCATCGTTGTTACAATCAAACAGATTTGTGTGTTTGCACTAAAACTGTTGAAATGTAAGTTAAAGTAGCAGAAGAGTTGGTAAAGCACATCCTGTTTGGTTGTGTCTTTGCTGCTGTCCTGAAGGTCCACACTTTGCAGCAGTGAACAACAACAATGAGATCATCGTGACTGACTTCCATAACCACTCTGTCAAGGTCAGTCAACGAAGAGGTGATCCGTTCAGTGTCCTCCAGCAGGACTTGTCCCCGTGCAACCCTGATGTATCACTGTGTCCTGACAGGTTTTCACCCTTGAGGGAGAACTGGTGTTGAAATTCGGCTCTAACGGGGAAGGAAATGGCCAGTTCAACGCCCCCACCGGAGTGGCTGTGGACGTCAATGGAAACATCATCGTAGCTGACTGGGGCAACAGTAGAATTCAGGTACATCCAGGGTGCAGAGACCCCCACCCCTCAGGGCGCCATAGTAAGAACGATGCTTCTCTCTTTGTTGCGACTCCTGCAGGTGTTTGACGGCAGCGGCTCCTTCCTCTCCTACATCAACACGTCGGCGGACCCCCTGTACGGACCCCAGGGCCTGGCCCTGACCTCCGATGGACACGTGGTGGTGGCCGACTCCGGCAACCACTGCTTCAAAGTCTACCGCTACCTGCAGTGATGGAGGCCTGGGCGGAGAGGCAGAGAGGCGGAGGGGAGGAAGGGAAGACGGGAAGAAGGAAGGGGGCAGGTGTTGGAGAAGAGAGATATGGTGGAATTACAACTCGACTTGGATGGAAGGACGGGTGGAGAGGAAGCAGGGACGCAAAGAGAAGAATTAGCCACAAATACATCATCAGACCACAATGAAGTTTTGACAACTTTTCGAAAAAGCATCATTAGAGTATTCGTCTAAAGATGAAACAGGATGAGGGAGATGGTGCTTTGAACTAAAGGAGGACGAGATCATCGGATGAGGACAGAACGATGGAGCTCGTCAAAACTGAGACATATCGCGGAGAGACCAATGAGTGACGCTGATTCTTGATGTCTGTCAAAAAGTCTCTTTCTCCCAGCTTGACGTTTAAAATAAGTTGAAGGGAACGAAAAGCTTTGAAGAATAAGTGAAGAGCAAATAGAGGTTACAAAAGGACACGACACCAACGTCCTGGGAAACCACCGCTTCCCAAACACACCTGAGTGGATGGAGGGTGAAGACATCGAGAAGGTAGAAGACGTCCTCTGAGTGTATGAATTAAGATTGTTTTGTAATGTTCTGCTTTCTTATGTTGGATGTAACACGTATGTAAATACTGGTCAGCGAGCTGAACGAGGTCCACGTCTTAGTTTCACATCATTTCTCATCCCAGGTGATTACCACACATTTCCTGCATGGCTTTTTCACCATAAAACTACGTCTGCGCACAAAGTGATGAGCGGTGACCGACTCTCGGAGGGGGTCGTGGCGCCCAGCAGGGAGTCTGAGTTCACCTGTACATCAAACTGCATTGTTTGTTATTGGACTAAGACATTTCAGGCTGGTGCCCATTGATTGTACATCGTCTGAATAAGGAATGTTTCTTTACTTTCTTTCCGTGAGCTCGTATACTTAAACTCTGAGCCAACAGGTCCAACATTTTGATTGGCTGCTTGTCAGCGACCAGCAGCATGATGCTCGGTTCAATATTTCTTCCTGAGAAATTGGATGCAAGGAGGGAAAAGAAATCTCTGAATCTACTTTTGTGAGAGTACCTTTACTAATGTTATTGTAGAATGTTGGAATCAGGAACAAAGGGACAAAGAATGTTTTTCATTGATTTTCCCACGTCTCACACACACGGAAGGACACGAGACGTCACAGAGCATTCAAACAGGTACTTGGCAAGAAAAGCATTTAAATGAGTCCCGGATGTTTGTGGCGTCCTGTCAAGTTTACAGGTGATCGAACAGTAAACCTGATGGATGTTATTACTTCTACTCATTTATTTTTAGCCATTGTGATCCTCATAACTTGATTGTGTCCCACCGTGTGCATCGGAGTTCTCAAGTGCCCATTATATTTCTTCTTTTGTACATTCTGTCTGTTGCGTTGGATCGAAATACGATTGTTAGTGTTTGATACGTTTTATACCGTTTCGAGTGGACAAATCTACATTTCCAGTTTGGTTTCATCGTTTTTTTTGTCAAATGAAAGTTGCTATTCCGTGGAGGCAAAAGAATCCAGCTAGCCAGTTAGCCTGTTAGCCAGTTAGCAGGTAACGCTGGTTATCATTAGCATTTTGACCCCAGCCAAAGGAGGCCTGCAGACATGGAGCCATTGGGGCCACACGGTGTTCAGACGCTGCAGCAAAGTCCTCAGTCGTTGTTTCGATGCTGAATGCAAACGTCGCTCAGCAAAGACAAATCAGAATAATAACAAGTGCATGTTCAATGAAAAAATAATAAACTACAATGAAAGCTGCCAGAGTTCATGTTGTTTCCATTATTGAGCTGAATGTAGGAGTGTTAAAGGTTCTCTGACTGTTGAAGCATCAAATATAACAAAGGGATTTATTGGTCGACTGAATCAGATCCGGTTTGAGTTCAAAGGTCAATTTAATTTAAGCTTAAGTTGATGAGATGGAATTCTCCTCCTCAGTAATCTGGGTTTGAAGTGTATCGCAAACATAAGTAAGAGAAAGTAAAAACATCAAGTGTGGAAAAATAGAGTAACAAATAGGAACACGTCACATTTTCCATTATAAATATTCACACGGACGTCTGAGCGCTGACAGCGTGACTTCAGTTTCCTGTGTATTCACACACACTCGCCACTAGAATAACGCATCGACCCTCCATGACAGCCGCTTGTTGTGGTTTGGTTTTGTGCGTCTCTTTAAATACTCGCTGTGTTCGCTCGTCTACGACAACGTCTCGTAGCAAAAGACCTTCAGGGACAAAAGACAAAGCGTCCAATGAGCTTTCAGAAGGGAAAACTGACACGTTGTTACGTTGTGTAACAGCTGTCTCTCTCTCTGGGTTCACTACTAACAATGACTCTTTGTTGGCATTACTTTAACTACTACTTACTACTTAACTAATTACCAAATCCAGAGACTCTTAAAGTTTGTGTCCAGACTTGAACTACTTGTAAAAAAGGACTCCTCCACGGGGAATTATTGAACAACTTAGTATCATTTTATTTAAAGTGATGAGCCTCACTCATCAAGAATACAAAAGCAGATCATTGTAATGTTCCCTTCTTTATACATATACATATATATATATATATATATATATATATATATATATACATATATATATATATATATATATATATACAATGAAGCTTTGGGAATGATTGATAAGAACTGCATAGATACTTGTTTGCCTTCCACTCCTCCTGCATTGTAACGGATCAGACACACAAACATCACCAGTTATTCCATTTCAAACACTGGTTCTCACCCCGTGTGGTTCATTGACATATTGAAGAACATCTGACCGTCTCTTGTGTTGTGTGGGTTTAATTACTGTGTGACTTGAATGCTGTTGACATAATAAACAGTTTCATATCCAGTCGAACGAAGAACGGTCCCAGTGAGCCTCCCTCTCACAGCAGGAGGGTCGAGCGCTAGAGCTCGTCGTGGTGGCTTCTGGGTGGGTCCTGGTTGATTTTGGTGGCGGCCCTGATGGCAGATTTCATGGACGTCTCGATCCAGGCGTGAGGGAAGGCCGTGTGCTCCCCAGCAAAGTGCACCCTGCCTTCACGCTTGAAGAGCTCCTTGGAATACTCCAAATGCTGGAAGGGCGTGAAGAGAGCGAAGGCGCCCAAACTGTGGGGGTCCACGCTCCACTTCTTCACCAGCACCCCTGTGCACAGAGGCCGGACCTTCTCCCCGTGGATCTTTGCCAAATCTCTCAGAGCCAGCTCCTTCAGGTCTTCATCGCTGGCACCCAAGAGGAGGAGGGAGTCGTCGGACCAGGTGTAGGAAGCCAGGAGGACGCCGATGGTCTTATTGGTCGGGAAACCGTGGCTGGGGTAGTAGATGTAACGCGAGGGCCCGTCGGTGATGCTCTTTCCCCCCCGGATGCCGTCCTTCTCCCAGAACCTCTCGCTGAAGGTGAGCAGGATTTTAGTGGAGCTTTCATAGTGGACCCCTCTCAGGACTTCCATCTTTCTGATGGAGAGAGGTGGATCAAAATCCATGAAGAGGGCTGCTTTGGCTGTGGTTGTAACCAGAACAACGTCAGCAGAAAGGTCAGTCAGAGGGGCGCGGTGGCCCGTCTCATACGAGACAATTACACCCTCGTGCGATTGGCTGATGCGCTTGACCTTAGAGTTGAGCAGGATGGGGACGTCAAGGACAGAAAGGAACCCGTTGGTCAGGCGATCCGACCCGCCGGTCACTTCAAGGTACCTGGAAACAAGGAACGATTTTGAGTCTACGACACGTGGTCAGCGATGTCTGCTCTGTGTGCTCCATGCGAATGTGTTGGATCTCCCGTTCGTACGTGGTGCTGTCGCTGACATCGCTCTGGATGTAGATCATCTCAGTCAGCGCCAGATGCATGAGGCTCTGCTCGTTGAGCAGGTCCCCGATCATCCTCACCGCCTCCGGACTCACGCCGCCTTCCTTCATCAGATACTCCTGTGGAACAAGACACACGAAGTCCTTCCGTCTTCAGACCAGGTCTAATATGCTCTACAGTCCCAAACCCTCGGGGTCCTCTTCGGGATTTACCTTCACAGAGTAGTGGTCGTACTTCCGTAGAGCAGCTGCGCAGCCGTGCGCCTTCACTTCATCTTTCACCTGCAGAGAACATCTAGTGGTTTACAGCGGTAGCTTCGCACACAGAAGCCTCGGATCACTGCAGGACATAAACAGGCAGCCACGCACTGACTGTCCACCGTATCCGTCCCAATAACACCGAGTACCTTCTGCAGAGCGCGCTGCAGCAGCTCGTCGGCGGACTTCCCCCTCTCTCCTCGGGGAACTTTATACTGCAGGATGTCAGGGTTGTTTTTCACCGCGTACGTCCTCTTCAGCAGCCCGTGGACCAGGTAGAAGGTGTTGGGGTCCTCCATGTTGAACTTGTTCAGCTTCACTCCCAGCTTTGCAGCAAACTGGCGGACGATGCTGTGAAGAGACGACGCCGGCTGAAGCATTTCCAGTCCAAGTGTAGAGACGTGAGTCACTTCACGCTGACGTTCTCTCTGGATGAGAGGATCCATACTCACGTACCGCTGCTCATCTCCCCAACAAGGAACAGCTCAAACGTGTTGCGTCACACATTCAAGACGCAGTTTCACTCACCGATGAGAACTTGGGATCCTCATGGCTCCCAGGTCGGCATACCAGCCCTCTTCTTCATTCCTGTGGGTCTCCACCCGACCTCCAACACGACCACTGGACTCCAGTATGGTCACCTGGGCGAGACAGTCAATGAAGCGCCATCCCTGATTAGAGGAGCAGAAGCCACGGCTGCGTCCGTCGTTTAGCTTGTGTGATTCTCTGCTGTAGTAAGCGAATAAGAAGAACCTCGTACAACCCAATTTGATAAAGTCCTTTTCCTTAAAACTGGCTCATTTACACTGTTTTTTAAAACCTTTTGACGTTATACCTTTTGCATAATAAAATGCAATGACAAAGGTGGAAGAAAAGAAGGTCAGAAGTGCCTCCTGCTGCAGTGACTATCAACAGATTTCTGTTTGTTTTCGATCGCGAAAACAAACCCTCCATGACGTCCCCCTGCAGCAGGTACCTGGTGTCCCGCGTCTTGCAGGAGCTTGGCGGCGGTCAGTCCGGCCACGCCGGCCCCGACGATGGCGACGCGGTGAGAAGTGTTGCAGTGGGGGAGGCCGGTCTTGGCCGTGTGCAGCAGCTCGTCGTAGTCTTTGTCCTTCAGACACTGAGCCAGATGTTCCCCCAGGCCGGCAGCGCTGACGCTGAGCTGCAGCGTGAGCAGCAGCACACCGACAGCAGCTGGAAGCACAAAGAGAGGAGAGTGACTGCTGAAGGCCGATGACTCGCCACAACGAGAAGAAAGAAGAAAATCACATGTGCTCACATGATCTCAGCACACGTGGATCCATCAGCATCGGGAAGCTCGTTTCAGAAACAGAAAGTCTGCGGGACGAGAAGACAGACCGAGACACTTTCACTTTCCTTCATGACTCCTGTTTCTGTGGAAAAGGCGACTGATGAAGACGCCTCTGTCTCTCTGTGTGTGTCTCTGTGTGTCTCTGTGTGTGTCTCTGTGTGTCTCTGTGTGTGTGTCTCTGTGTGTTTGTCCAAACATTGGTGCTCACGTATCGTGCTGTGAATGGATGGGGTCCAGCTTACATCCAGGACCTGGTCCAACCCGACACCCCGACCCGCACTCTCCGCTCTGCATGTGATAAACTGCTTGTTCCTCCTCACTGAGAGCAAAACACTCGACTAGATCTCCACTCTCTGCTGTCCTGCTCCTAAATGGTGGAAGGAGGTCTCTGAAGACATCAGGACCACAGAGAGCCTTCACATCTTCAGACTAAAGACACACGTCTTCAGACTCTACCTCCACTAACACACTAACTAACTGGAGCACTAGAGGTAAAACAGCTGGACCAGATCAGACAACGGGCCGGCGTGAAAGGGAAGCACCTGCAGGTTTAGCTAGCTAGTTAGCTTCTTATATGTGGTAATAGATTTTATATAAATACATTTATTACATGATATTTATATTGGATATTTATAATAGTTACCACATGGTCGTTTGAATAAGATGTCCTTATTATGTTAAACTGTTGGAATACATGTTAAATATTTACCTGCAAAGTAATAATGCGTGTTTGATGCCTTTTTTACATTGAATCATACTGGGATGTTTACTCAAACTGATTGACTGGCCTTACCAAAAAAAATACACCAGCCGCCACTGCTTGCAAGTTAAATAAACGGAGAAAGTTCTATTTAATTCAGAGACTGAATTCTTTATCCCTGATTGTTTAGTTTGTCTCCTTCTTGTTCACAGAGTCACAGCTAGACGGAAGTTCAGTTTATCTGCTCCACATATGAGGAACAAAGTCCCAGAGAGCTGCAGGTCTGCTGAGTCCCTCAGATCCTTTAAATCCACGATCTACAGGTTATATTCTCATATGTCGTCAATAAATTGCATCTTTTTATCGTTTAATCTCTTTAATGCAGATAACAAACAACGTTACTACCCGTAAATATCTTGTGTAATCCAGGAATCCTCACATAATGTTGGTGTTATGATTATATTAACATCTATTAAGTCACTTTCTTCTTACCTTGGACGTCTTGGGTGATGTGAACTGAAGCTCTTCAATAAAAAAACTACTTCATCCAAAACCTGCACGAGTGAAGGTGCACTCACACAAGCGCCGATCATACAGGATTCCGTTTGTATAAAATTCTCCCTGCTGCTCCCTGACGTGTTTGGACTTGTAGTAACACATCCATCGCAACAGAAAATGCTTTCAACAAGCCAGTGACACAAAGTCTCCACCCACACGATTCCAGGCTTCCATGTTGAAGTGTCCCTGAGCAAGACACCTAACCCCTAATTGCTCCCTGGGCAAAAATGTGAAAAAGCCATGGGTTTAAAGTGTAATGTAAGTCGCTTTGGATAAAAAGCGTCTGCTAAATGACCTGTAATGTAAATGTAAGAGAAACAAAGTAAGCTGGTTCCAAATGAACGCCCAGTGCCGAATAAAAGGAGATTAAACACTGTTCTTTGTCATCTCCACGTTAACATGGATGTTCTTTTTGAGGTTGTAAAATATGAGTTCATGAATAGAATAGAATAGAAGTACTTTATTGATTGATTGATTGATTGATTGATTGATTGATTGATTGATGAAAGATCTGTCTGCAGCTTTCTTTCATTTATCTGCAGTAAGTGTTGTGAAACAATCAATGAGGTGAATATTTCTTTTCTCTTCTTCAGGTGACTGAAATAAAGTCCTAAAAAACAAAATACTTGGCAGCTTCCTTTGTCTGCAGGATCCAAGGAGAAGACGGCCTTCAGCACCCCAGGAGGCCTTGGGCAGTACTGCATGATGGCTTTGGCCTGTTTGGAGCCTCGCTACGTTGGACTTATAATTGTATAATGGTTCTTATCTACAGCAAGTTGTACATTGGCTTATTTGATGAAATCACACTTTCTTGTTTCTTGTTCTTCTGAGTTTGTGTCCTCATGGTTGAAATGTTGTAAGTCGCTTTGGATAAAAGCGTCAGATAAATGACATGTGATGTAATGTGTGTGTCTCTGTGGAGGTGCATGAGGTAGACAAACATAAACATTGTTTATATACATATATATATATATATGTATATACATATATATATATATATATA